AATTGTCTACGTGCTACTTGGCCAGGGAACATTTCGCTAAAATTTCAACTTTCGAACTTCTCCCGTTCTAGAGTTAGCAGTTTTCCTGCCAAGAAATTTCATCGGTTCGTACATGAGAACCACACGTGTCTAGAAGCTGAATTTGATTCTTTAACTTTTACGGGGGCTGGGAACATACTTTTAAAATTTCAGCTCCCAGCTTTCCTATTTCTCGAGTTAGCCATTTTCCCGTCAAAAGATTTTACGGGGCCATACGAGAGAACCACGAACCCTGGAGATTGAATCTGATAAATTTTTGCTGTGCATGAGCTAGGAACATTCCCGAAAATTTTATCCCCCCAGCTTTCCTGGCTCCCGAGTTAACCACATTCCAGCCAAAAAATTTCACGGGGCCGTACATGAGAACTACGCATGCCTGGGACTTGAGTTCGATGAATTTAAGTTATGTATGCGCTGGGAACGTTCCCTGAAAATTTCGTCCTCCCAACTTCCCTGCTCCCAAGTTGGCGATTTTTACGCCAAGGACCCTCACGAGGCCATACGCGAGTACCACGTACACCTGGGAGATGAATTTGAAATTCTTGAGTTACGTATGCACGGGGGGCACAACCTCAAAATTTCAGCTTTCTAGCATTTTTGGTTCCTGAGTTAACGATCTCCTGCTAGAACTTTGACCATCTCGTACGCGGGGCCGAGAACTTCGTGAAGTTTGGTATCACGGTCCTGGAGTGGCGCTTGGCTGAGGAACTCACCAGCAAAATTTTGGCGCCAGAGCTTGCTTGGATGCCAAGTTGATATACCCGGACACACATCGGGGTACTCGCAATATGCTTTTTCGCATTTGCATATATGCAAAAACACATAATGAACATTAGTTCACTTGCATACTTGGATTTTTCACAAACGACCATTCGAGCAATACTTCCACTTTTTGGTGAACTGGAGATTTGCATTTTTTCAGAAAATTTGCATTATTTCTTCAAAAAGCTAGAATTTACCGGAAAACGACTGAGCTTAATGCAAAAAACAGGTAATCATGTATCTGCATATCCGTGCTGCTCTATTACGCAACACCCTCGCCCCAACCGATGCCCACCCTGCCACGTTCCGGAAGAAACCAAAGCACAGAAACCAATATGAGCCCAAGCGTTTGGCTGCAGCGCAGGATTATTCCTATTATTAGCGAACCGGGAGTTTAGTGCAAAAACGCATGGTCGCACCGGCAAACCTGATGCGTTCCAGCCTGGGTTTCCAGATGTTGCGTTGAGGAAATTGGGCTTGATTAAAAAAGCAAAATACGCAGGCATTTCATTATAACGGGTTCTTTATACGAATGAACTTCTTCACTCTTTGAGGGCGGGCGCGTGCGTTCATTTGTTTTGCACCGGACTTGAAATATACAGGTCATTAATTGCATGAATTTTTATGCGTTTTTGCCTATATGCAAATTGCAAAAACGCATATTGGGACGACCCTGT